ATTCTAAGATTTGATTTACATTTCTAATTAAAATTGTTTTTGATCATACGTATAGATAATTATATAAAAATTCCAAAATTCTAAAATTTCAAATACATACAAAAACAATCATATGTAAATTTTAAATTTGTGAATATTAAAATTTTATATTTTAATTACATATATTCACCCTGCGCAAGGCGCAGGTCTTATCCTAGTTCTTATTATTCAAAACATTCACAATCATTTGAGATAAACTGCTCCTATATAGATTGATTTGCTTACTTAGAGGTGTATTTAATTTGATATTTGATCCTTGTTATTTATAAATTCGTGATTTTAATATGTACTTAAAATTTTATTTTAGAATTTGCGATTGAACATTTCAAATAGTTGTTTTGAGAAAAATTATCCTGATTTTAATTAGAGAAAATTTAAGTTAAAAACATAAAATTCTATATTTTATAATGGTTTGATTAAATTATATATATTTTTTAATTCACTTAGTTAAAGTCATCTGACATGTATTGGATATGAAATCATTTCAAATGATTTCAAATACATATGATTAGAGGAGGAAACATACATCTACCAGCCCATATAAAATAGTAAACTTGATATATCATAGTACAATAATAACATATAAAATGAAGTATAAGTTTGTAATGTCAACCATTGCCTTGTACATTGAGCTGTCAATAAAAAAAACTAATGGACTTCCTTGGCGTGGGGAGCAAGAATCTCGTTAATCAAATTAAATACTGCTTTAGCCAGACTCTCGAGGTTGGTAACGTATATATAAGAACACAGTACTTGCAAGGTCAACAAAACATTACTAAATACAACACAAGAATCCATCACATATATCCAAGAGTCAACACCTTCTGTTTATATCATTTACACTACAAACCGATAAGAGGCTATGGGTAATCCTCGTCAAGGCAACAAAAAAGTCTCCACTTGTGTTGGTTTTAATACAGACAACAAAATGAAGAAACTCGACTCAGAAGCTGAGAAGCGACTCAAAAAGGTGGAGAAAGATTATCTCCATGCAAGCCAAAAGTATAAAGAAGCAAGAGTAAGTTTCTAATACACGTAATGCCTATAACATACCACTCAAAGCTCATTACAATCGTTGCATTGGTTTATTTCTTGTGGGTAGTTACAGCGGTGGAACTTAATTTTTGAGAGAGACCGGGCTATCAATCTCTGCTGCTCGGCTGAAAACTTCATGAACTTCTGCAACCAACTGGTAGAGAGCTTACAAAAGATTATTGACAAGCTACCTACAGCAGAAACAAAGGAAACCATCAATCATGTAAATGTTATCCCAAACAAACAATATAGTTATGCTCTTAATGATGAACCAATTCATTCACTAAGGGTGAGATAAATCCAGATATCTGAAAATTAATTTTAAGATATTCGGATTTTGATCAGTGTCTTAACTACCCGCATCAAGATTCGGCTATTGAATGTTTGTTTAGATATTTAAATATAAGGTGGATATTTGGATTCGTAAATAATATTTTAGAATATTAAAATATTGAAAACAATTATGAAATTAAAGTTCTTACAATATTTCCTAAAATTTCACATGTAGAACTATAGAATTATAGTAATGATTTCATACATATACTTATTATATAAATAATTATTAATAAAAATTTAAAACTAATATATTTAAAAAAAGGGATCCAGATTCGAATATGAATATCAGGACATATAATTAAGATATCAAAATCTGGTCTGGCAAATATATCCGTTCCTTATCCAGATTCTTGAACCGGTTCCGTAGTGGATCTCAGATCGGATCCAAATCTAGGATAATACATCCATATGATTCACTACATAGCACAAATTTACCATATTTTACAATCCATAACACTTGCTTTGTATATTCTAGGGCCTGCAATCATCGATTTGCAATGATTTTGGAATTATTAACAGAGAGGTATTATTCCTATTGTTTAGCTTAAACTCTCAAGATTGATAGCTTACATACTAGGAACATACATGGCCTCTTGACACTTTTTTCTTACCATGTAATTAGATACGCTACTATCAACGAAAATTGCCAAGGGGTAGCAGCAGAAAAGCTGAAAATGATCTTCTTAAGGAGGTTAGAAAGAAGAAGATGTGTAGAGACAAAGCTGTTTCAAACTTTGCATCGGTCTGTAATCCAACATTTGAAGACAGTTTAAGAAAATCTGTGGAGCAGGAGATAGTTGTAAGAGATGACTTACTTTCCTTTGACACTAACACATGTCTTATTTTAGACTAACCAGTGTAAAGATTCTTGCAAATTAATTAGGTTATAAAGAAGCTGATAAGAGAGCTTCAAAAAGACTTTGAAGAAAAAGTGCATATGGAGCAATATGCAATGAATGTATATGCATGTATCGAACGAAAGGTGAAGCATTTAGAGGTGAAAAAGGAACACCTCTTGGGGCAAAGGGATATCATGAGGCTGAATATATCAAGATGTTGAATGATTTTTTACCATGATGGGTTGCAATATTATAACTTGGGCCTTGGAGTGTATATGTCACCAAAGTCTTATAGCAGAGAAAGATGATGAAAATACCATGCCACTGTCACAGATAGTTGTTGAATGTCTAAAAAGACTAACATTAATATGTAAGGTCTCGGGCAAATTTATTTATAGCAAATTGATTTTAATTTTAAAGTCCCAAAAAGCTTGACATGATCAAACAGTGTTTGTTAATTCAAGAAGAATGGTCCAAAATAGTTTATTACCGATCCTAAAGTGAAATTTTGTTCAAGATGAATCAGTAAGAACCATCTCGAGTATGATCATCCATGTATATTGTCAATTAGTTTTAAGTTGAATATCTATTAGAAATTATATATCTCTGGTTTATATTGGTTATTGTATTTGGTTTAAACCGTTTAGTAAAACAGCTTGTTTATAAGTGTCATTTTCTTTCTCCGCTAACATCGTATCAAAACTCAGTTGATCAATCATCTTGTTGTTCTGCTGCTTTCATTTTGATCTCGATCCTTTAGTATATATCTGATGAATCTCGTTGATCTTGGATTTGAGCTGATTTTAAGCTCGATTTCAGCTTGTAGCATTCATATTTCTTGTGTCGATTGATCGCCTAGGAAACTTGACACTGCTATTCTTGCTTGGAAAACTGTTCATTGAGATTTGAACAAATAAAGATTATGCTACCTAATAAGCTGGACTTTTGCAATACCTATTTTTGAGATTGGAAAAAACTGTTCTTTTGAGATTTGAACTAATAAGCTGACTTTTGCAATAGCGATTTAGGATAATCCTAACATAACCAGGTTTGAGAATTACGATTTTACCCCTCAGGGGCCAAGTCAGCACATTAATGATTATAATAATAATATTTCTATGGTTTCTATTTTTATTTTTTTTTGGGATTTTCGTGACTTTCGTCGGTTCCCTCTTTAGCTACGAATCCTGCAATCCAGTGTTCCTCCTCATCTAAAACCAAGATCTCTCTCGTACACGATTCTTAACCTACACCCATCTCCTCAAGTTTCCTCCTTTGCTCATCCAAGATCTCTTCTTCTTCTTCTTTCACGAGTCTATACCGGTCACAATCTCCACGTATTGACTTGAAACGGCAAATTGGGTAAAACAACAGATCCTGTTCTGTCTCTTGAGGGCCAAAATCATGGAGATTTCTCACCGACCCTTTGTTTTATTATTACTATCTCTCTGCCTCTTTCTGCAAACCTCTCTCTCAATCGATAATTTTCACCAAGCGTAAGTCTGATCTCTTCTTTGTTCTGGTGCTCATCAGATTTGTATATTGAGAATTTGATTTCAGATTTTTGTTGCTTTCTGAACTATCCGACCGCATGCATTGTTCTTTTGTCGGAAAGATGTAATCTTTGGATCTCATTCTGTTTTGTTTCGTTGCAATCTGATGGAAATAAATGTTTTTTTTTATTTATGTCTTTATAATGCATTATTTTTTCTTTTTGTCTATTGCAAGTAGTTGCTAAAGTATTATTAGGTTATGTTATAGCCACATTGTAGCGATTCATTTGTCATCAAACTGTAGCTGTTGATTATTGCAAACACTTTTTTTGGAAGTCTTGTTGATACCAATTGGTTCTTGTTGCTAATGCAGGTTTCCTATTGTGGAGCCTGATCCGAATCATACAAAGCTTCGTCTTAGCAGAGAAGGTTTGGAAGCTATTAGTAGAATCACTACTCCTATTGCTGCTGTTGCGGTATGTGAGACAGATTGTTATGTTTTGACTCATTATCAATTCTTTTGTATGTTCTGTCTATCTGACCAAGAAAGTTGTTACCTTTTTTTGTCCCTCACGCTTTTGCTTGTTGTTTCCTTGAAACATTAGGTGATTGGGCCGTATCGTTCTGGAAAGTCTTTTCTACTTAATCAGCTTCTTTCCCTTTCCTGTTATGAAGGTGTTTTCTTATCTCTAATACTTTGGATTCTGCATTTTTTTACAATATGTTTATCAAGACCACGTCAGTACATATGTGTATAGGAGTAGAGTATAGTAGATCATACAAAGTACGTGTATAAATACTTATTGTACAGCAACAGCTTGAGTTAATGTTAAATAGAAGAAATAGAATAACAGGACACTTTCTTCTATTACTTTAACTTACAAATAATTTCAAATTCATCAGGTTTTGGTGTTGGACACATGCGTGATACCAAAACAAAAGGTATGTCACCACCAATGTCCTAAGGGAAATATCATCCTCCAGTTGCAAAAATATATTCTTGCTATCGAAAGGTTTAAACTTTTTTGGTTGGAATCCTTTTAACTGTTGTGAACAGGGATTTGGGTCTGGGGAACACCACTAGAGTTAGAAATTGACGGAGTAAAGACTTCCATTATTTACCTCGACACTGAAGGATTTGAAAGTGTTGGAAAGTCTAATGTTTATGACGATCGGTACACATACAGTTTACTCTTTGAACATTTGGACATTTGTTTAATGATGCTCATGATATTTGATCAAAACTGTTTTTGCTGATTTTTTTTCAGAATATTTGCTCTGGCAACGGTTATGAGTTCTGTGCTTATCTATAATCTCCCTGAAACTGTAAGTTGTCCTGTCTTGGTCTTTGTTCGGATTGCTTATGGTTTTAGAAACATTATACTTATAACCCAAGAAGAGTGTAAAACTGATATCTAATGATCTATATGTTAATCACCATGCCACTAGTCATACTAAAGACCAAAGTCTAGGTAGTAGGAAGGTGAATGAGCTCTTGATCTTGTAGTAGGAAAGTTACATATAAGGATGTGTAAACATTAGAGTAACTAGTGTAGTGTTTGAAAGAACTTCATCTACATCTCTTTCTAATATGAATTCTCATCAGATTCGCGAAGCGGATATATCTCGGCTCTCCTTTGCTGTTGAATTAGCAGAAGAGTTTTATGGAAGGTTTGCTCAATAGTACTCTGCACTTCTCTTTTCTTAATAACATGCCTCTATGAATATTAACTAGCTTCTATTTTCATTGGCACATGCTACTCGATTCGCAGAGTAAAGGTACTTTCCTAACGCTGCTATTCTTGATCCATGGAAATCTTCAAAACTTTATTTCTGATTATCTGCATATCTTATAGGGACAAGATGTTGCTTTCGAACCGTCAAAGCTTCTGTGGCTTATTCAGCGTGATTTTCTGCGTAAGTGCATGGTGATTTTGACAACATCATTCATAATAGTACTTAAACTTTATGTTTATGTTCGCGGCTGGTTCTATGATCCACTTCAACGTTCTAGTTTTCTCTGAATTGTATGCAAGTGAGACTGTCATGATTAACACTATTATAACTTCATGCAGAAGGGAAATCTGTGAAGGAAATGGTGGATGAAGCTCTAAGACACGTCCCTAATGAAGATGGTCAGAGTTCCTTTTCCATTTTTTTAATTCTCAGGCAGCATCCCTTTGTTAATTGATTGTTTTTGTTTTATATTTTCAGGTAACAAAAATATTGATCAGGTATTGTTCTTCTTTCTTCTGCATCGTACCAGTAATCATCATTACTATCTCAGAAGTCAGAACCTTTTCTTGTTATCCACCTTTTTCAGGTTAACCAGATCCGGGACTCTTTGGCTATTATGGGTGACAACAGTACAGCCTTTAGCTTACCACAGGTTGGGAATCTTCAACACTCTTTTCTTCGAGTTAATGCGTATATAGGTGTTTATTTTATCATACCTTTTCTTCCTTGTTTTTTGTTATTTAGCCACATCTCATGAGGACAAAGCTGTGTGATCTTAAGGACGAGGACCTAGACTCTACCTATGTTGAAAGGCGTGACCAATTGAAAAAGCTCGTTGCTAGTATTCTCCGCCCAAAGATAGTGCAGGGGAAAGCACTAAACGGAAAGGAATTTATTTCTTTCCTGGAGCAGGTGAGTGTCCATATATGATGAGTGGAAGTCATATGGCTGTGTGACTTCTATGCTTACTATTGGTATGATGCAATTTTGAATCTTTGATTGCTCTAATCTGCAGATATTGGATGCGCTAAATAAAGGAGAGATACCATCAACAGGGTCACTAGTTGAGGTTTTCAACAAAGATATCGTTGAGAGATGTGTGAAACAGTACCATGAGAGGATGGTAAACTTGCGGCTACCTATGCCTGAAGAACATCTCCAAAGCGCTCATGAAACGGCACATGATGAGGCTTTAAAAGCATTTGATGCTCAGCATTTTGGAAGACAGCATGCAAAGAAATCTGTCGATCAGTTGGATGAACAAATGCAAGAGGTACGAATCCATTTGGCTAATCTGTAACTTCTCCATGTTTATCTCTAATACATGACTGTACCCTGGAAATATTATTCAGGTATTCAAGAACTTTGTTCTAGCAAATGAATATCAATCATCAAAGCTCTGTGAGGCGCTTTATACAAAGTGTGAAGATGACATGGACCACTTACAATCTCTCAGACTCCCTTCCATGGCTAAGTTCAATGCAGGTTTCATGTACTGCAACCAAAGTTTTGAACACCAATGTGTTGGTCCTTCGAAACAAAACTATGAGCAAAGGTTAACTAAGGTAATGTACACACGTCTCTCTATGCTGTACTTGAAGTATCGAGGATCAGTTTCAACGCTACTAAAAAGATATTTAATAGTTAATGCTGGTTGTGTGCAGATGATGGGAAAGGCACGGTCTATGTTCATCAAAGAATACAACAACAGACTGTTCAACTGGCTTGTTGCGTTCGCACTTGTGATGGTGATTGTGGGAAGGTTCATTATAAAATTCATTTTATTAGAAATGGCGGCATGGATACTGTTCATATTCTTGGAGACGTACACAAGGATGTTCTGGACAGCAGAGTCACTTTATTACAACCCAGTGTGGCATTTCATTGTTGGGACATGGGAAACAGTCGTGTATAGTCCCGTTCTGGACTTGGACAGGTAACACAGCAAGTCAAAACTTCTCGCAACCTCTCTGCTTTGTCTTAATATGTTTGTATGTTTGATGAATAGATGGGCGATTCCTATTGTCTGCATAATTGCATTGTTTGTGCTTTATTGGCGGTGTTATGGGAAGAGGAAACATGGATCTAGTTGGCTTCTTCCTATGTATAACAGCCAGAAGAATGGTCGGAACAGGGAACGGTCTGAGTAAAACACATTGCTCCTCCTTCTTTCCCCTATTGCATCTTCTTGGGCATGCTCGTTGTTTTAAATCACCCGAAGCTTTCTGCCCGTAACTACCAATTTTTGGACGCAGAAACATTTGAAATGAAAAGAAGAATCTAGAGGATGATTTAATTTGATCCAAGTTGGTTTGATTGATGCCTGTATTCACTGCACTCTCTGTACCATTTACATAGAAATTATCTTTGTAACGTTTTAAACTTTATATACATATAATATATATGGTTGGATCTGTTTTATTTACTCTCCGAGTCATACGGCTAATTTAGCACATAGCTAAAAGAGGGTTCATCTGAAGATTCTAACTAGCAGTTTTTGTTTACTCAAATTCACAATATAAGCCTACATTGCAATCACTTGAATAATTCGCCTTGTAATTTTGTATCTACTCTATTAAAATATAATATTTCTTTTTATCTATTAAAACAAGTTGTCATTTAAATTTGGACAGAGTGTTACAAATAATACAAATCATATAGTTAATTGCACTGCATTACTTAAATTAAATCGGTGATTATTTATAGAATAAAATTTTGGGTTTACTTGGTTTTTAGTACATATTATATGGTTTGGTTTTTGGGTTTAGTATTAAAGAAAAAATCAAAAAAACATTGAATAAATTTTCTACTCTAATGGATCAAAAAATCAATTATTATTTTAAGGTCCAAAGATATTTAATATTTTTAACAAAATAAGTTGTCTATTATTAATCATTTATTTAAATCATGCACTTTAAAACATGTTAATGTATTTTTTATTTTAAATAACAATCACTTTGTTTTGATAAATTTCAATGGTAACTTTTAAATAATTTATTGTTTTATTTTTCTTAGATAATTTAATGATTAAAAAAATGTAAAGCAAAACCAAAAACCAAATCTAAAAATTAAAATTCAAAACCAAAAAGCTGAAAACGCAGGTTATATTTTTTGCTTTTGTTTATTTACAAATAAACTATTGCAATTTTTTTTAAAAAATATTTGTCATCTTTTCAGTTTTAAATTAGATGTTCTATTATTTGAGATTTGTTTATTGGTATTATTAGTTCAAACTAACTTAACGTATCTAAAAATCAAAAACCCAAACCAAAAACTAAAAATTAAAAATAGAAACTTAAAAACCAAAAACCAAAAACCAAAATCTAAAACAAAATCTAAAACTAAAAACTGGAACTAAAAACTAATGAAAAATAATTATCGAGAGTTATGCGTTGTACAAAGTTTTATTTTATTCATATCATACAGACAGAATATGTGGAGAATCCAGCCATAGAAGCTAAAAGACATATAACATACATCATGAGTACGAAGATATATATAACTTACATCATGACCAACCCTCAACCATGCATTGTATAAAGTTTTATTTTATTCATATTATATAGACAAAGTAACAGTGTGGTCCGTGTACAAGTCTAACCGGCGGTAGGGGGTTTTATGACGACACGGTTTGTATTAACCCAAACCCTGACTCGGTCGCACCTGAAGTCTGCAGTCACTGGAGTTCCATCCAAAATCACGATTGCATCCACTCTCCTGTTCTCTTTTTCTATCACCGAAGCCGCATAGTCACCATTTGTTCCCACAAGCTCTGGCCATGAGTTCTTCCCTGCATGCACTCAAAGGAACCACGTAAGATCCGTTTTTAGTTTACATTCGGTATGTTAAGAAATTATTCTAAACCACCTCCTCCCCCTAACTAACCTCTTTGATTTTTAACTGAGAAACATCAACATCGCTACCAAAAGTAAATTAAGAAGTTACCATGCTTGAGCATACCATATGTATAAACCGATTTCATAGTTATGTTGAATCACAACTTATCTAAATGCTTTGAAGCCATATCTAACATATAATGAACATTAGCTCAGTTTATTAGCTTAAAGTTTTAATAACAAGAAAAATTACCAGGACACTCGGACGACATTTTCTTCCTCTTGTTATCTTTGTAGTGTTGTGATGTGTTTGCTATGCTCTTCTTTAGGAAATTGAGTTCAATTTATAGAATTGGATGCGTCTGTCGGTGGTATATAGTCGGTGAGCGCATGCAGATTCAAAGTCAAACATACGACTAACCGGTTTTAACATTCAACTTTTTTGACATTTTTAAGCCGATAGATAAGCCTTGACAAGTTATATATCGTTTTGGTAAAGCTTTCAAAGTTATATATATATATATATATCTATACTCAATACTCAAAGTTTAGACAAAAAAATAGATCATTAATTCAACATGATCTCTGCTTCTGAAACTTTATTTCGTTCACGATATGTATACTTGGAAGAAAAATACTTGCAAGTACGTATACATATCGTGAACGAAATAAAGTTTCAGAAGCAGAGATCATGTTGAAAGAAAACGAATTAGGTGAAGAGAATATTGTCAATGCTGGCTGGATTTTGTTTACATGTTAGATTTTTTATATTATGAACTTTCACATATGAAACGCTTGTACGTGTAATATCATTTCTCCTAATCAAGTCATCATATGTACTCTTTTTTTGTTACTGCATTCATATGTACTCTCTAAAATCATATTTTTCAAAAATAAATTATTTCATCTCAATGCTTAGCAAAACTTGGAAATAAATTACAGTAAAATCGGAATTAACCCAATGCTAGCTCACCCTAAGACTCAAATACTATAAGAATAGCTCATTACTGATTTTCATTGCAAACCAAATCACTTGTTATGGAGACATCACCACGTCTAGCCATGCATAGATAACGTACATACAAACAACTGTCAATAAAAGCGACATCCAAGGAATTTTCTTCAAGATGTATTATGTAAAACGACACGTTATGCATGCATATGAAATACGTTACATAACAACTGTTCATATAGAACACATGTAAGTCTATTTATGTAACGTATGTTAGACTATACATACAAGTTACAACATGCCTTGAACCATTGTATAAACATAAAGTTACAACAGCGAATATGATGTTAACGGAAAGAAAAATTCAGGTAAAGGCCGGAATAATATCAATAGAGGATAAGGTTTTGTAGAAAACCAATATAAGGAAACCAGTGGTGGTAGCCTAGTGGCGCTTGAGGGAATAAACCCAATAAGGCGAATCCGGGTTCAAATCCCACTGGCCACACGGATATGGGTTATCGCTTTCGACCCATTTGAATGCCCAGGAGAGGGTCTATCCGTGGGCTGTGTACCTCCACCCGGGGGTTAGGTCTGTGTCTTTAATAGACCCGGGTTTAACTCTTCCCAGTTTCTTTTTTTTTTTTTTTTTTTTTTTTTTTTGGTTATATTCCTGTTGTAGAGAATTCCAAAATTTTCTCACCCTTTTGTTTATATTGTAGCGATGATGTTTTGTTTTCTAATGCTATGTTTTCCATAAACCGAGTCCAATATAAATATTTTATTAGCTTAGGAATATCTGGACCCTATTGACATTTTTGATATCCATTTTATGTGGGTCGGATCATGGATGTTATAAGTTTCGGATAATATTTCCACGCAAGACTTTTGACGGACAGTAACACTTACACAAGATTGTGTGGGACCCACAACCTATCCTCTCTTTTTTTCTTTCTACAATATATATCCAATAACAAAGCGCCGCGTGTAGCCTTTTATTTTTGTATTCGAATCCACTTCGGACATACAGAGGAAAGAAACACGGACAGAAACACTTTACACGCTTCGTGTGCTATCTTCTCTCTCTTACAACAGAACACATCCAATAGTAAAGCGCCACGTGTGAACCTCTGATTTTATAACCAACAGAGGATTAGAGAAAGACTTTGAAAAGAAAAAAAAACTCAGGAGATATTGGGTAGGTGAGACTTGAGAGAGACAATTGAGAGGGATGAAGTCTGGTTTCTCCGGCGGCGATGATTCTTTCTGGCCTCAATCTCCGGGAGATGGTATGAACCGAAGTCAATCTGAGTGGGCGTTGCAGATGCTTCTCGAAGAGATATCTGTCCCCGCGGGAAGCTCCATCTCCTCATCTTCAGCGACTGATAACGTAATCCTACAATCATCTCCGCAGATTCAATCTAATTCGTCCGTTTCTAGACCTGAAGAAGCTTCTTCTGACGTCGTCGTCGAGATACAAAAGCCGCCGCACAATGGGAGTGGGAACCGTGATCCGTCGTCGCGTGTTGAGGAGATGGATCCGAACGACTACCAAGCGATTCTCAAGAGCAAGCTTGAACTCGCCTGTGCTGCCGTTGCGCTTCGTGTTCGTCTCTAAAATCAATCTCTTACGTTTTTTTGTACATAAAGAAAAGATCTTTTGATATGGTATGGTTTGGTTTGGTTTGGTTTGACGTAGGTGTCTACTGTGATGTCGGAAGATTCGAGTGCGTCGTCTGGTAATCAAAAGCAGGTTTCTCCTGTTGGATCTCAGACTAAAGGTTTGTTCCCATGTTTCTAACTCTCCTTGTTGGCTTCCTCTGTTATTTTTTTTTTTTGACTATGACTTCATGATATAACCATTCAAAAGGGCTCTAGCTTTTTCAGCTAAAGTGTCACTTTAGTTTAGTCTTCCGTACTTTTTTGTTTTGTTTTGCATCTTTACATCTTGTTTAATTGTGCTATGTTGTATGAGTTTGTAGATTCTGCATACTCAATACTATACTCATTCTTGCTACATTCTTCTTTTTGTTTGTATTTTTTTTTCCTTTATTTAACCTGAAAAATGGATCCTTTTAGGTCCTGTTGTGGCACAAATGTCGCCTGCTGTTTCATCTGTTAGTGATGCTCTCTCATTAGACGCAGAGCAAAAACGAGATATTCAGTTCAAGCAAGTCACGAGTGGTTTATCACGAGATGATTCTGATGACGAAGATCTTGATGGTGACATAGAGAATGCTGATCCTACCGATGTTAAGCGTGCTAGGAGGTACATTTCTTGAATTTCATTTTTCAAATATTCACAAGAGACTCACTATCTCTTGTTTAGTTGTTAGTGCTGTCCTGACTTTAGTTTTGCTAAACTTCACAGGATGCTTTCAAACCGAGAATCCGCAAGGCGCTCTAGAAGAAGAAAGCAAGAAGAAATGAATAAACTTGATACAGAGGTGTGTTCTGACACTGCAATAGTTTCTCATTCATTAGAAGTAATTCAAGAATTTACACTAACGTGTTTTACCTATTTTGTAGGTTGGCCAGTTGCGTGGTGAGCATTCAACTCTGCTTAAGCGTCTTAGTGACGTGAATCAGAAGTTTAGTACCGCTGTTGTTGACAACAGAATCTTGAAAGCTGATATCGAAACATTGAGAACAAAGGTAACATATGTTTTGCTCTTTATCTTTTCTGCAAGCCATTCAAGTTTATGATCTTTTATTATTTTTCCAAAACTTGTGTAGGTGAAGATGGCAGAGGATACTGTGAAAAGAGTGACGGGAATGAACCCTATGCTTTTGGCAAAACCATTCAGGATACCATTTGATAGGACACTTGTGGGTTCTTCACAGCCAAACTTGAATCAAGTCGGTATGATTCCAAATCAGAGATTAGAGAACAACAGCTTTGCAAGCAACACTGTTGTTACTCAGGAAGCCAGTGGCAATGCTTTTGAAACTCTACCGCATTGGGATCTGGAAGCAGGGAAAAATGAAGCACAAGAGTGAAATAAGCTGGCTTTGTGATAAGGTAGTAGTAGTAGTAGTTGTTATATAACTGTGTTTGGATTTGACCCAAAAAAATTATATATACAACTGTGTTTGGTTACAGTTTACTATGCGTGTCCATGTTCAAGATTGTTTAATGCTTATTGGTTTTTGCAATTTGATGATTTGCAGGATGCAACTTTAACTAATTGTGGTGGAGCCAAAAAGTGGTGTAGTTAAATGATTGCTGGACAATTTAATTATTGGAAACAATATCGCCTGGAACATATAAAAACTAAATTTGGAGAAAATGTTGTGTAGCCTTGTACTTTGGGTATGATTATGACAAGGCTGGTATATATGTTACTTGGATTAGAGTTTTACTGCTTTCGCTATCTTAAAACCTTTTTTTTTGTCAACGCTATCAGAAAACTCAACACTTTCACTATCTTGTTTAAGAGGTGTGACATCAAAAGGACTCCAAACATTTCTGGGCTATTCAATATTAGCCCGACCCGATGTTCCAAAACTATACAAGTTAAGGTTGATCTCATAGAAAAATGACATCTAAAATCACACCTAAAAGATATATAAAAATAATGAAGATTACAGTACGAGTAATGTTTGGAGTCCAGTCCTATCAATGACTCTTGTTAGTTCATTAGAGTTTTTGAAAGACCGTGTTTAGATAATTGTAAGCAGTCTTGACGCAGCTTAACACACACTCACACTCATACTGTGATAGTATTGCCCTTTCCATGATACACTCGCTATCAAAGTCAGTGACATTGATAAACTCTTATCAACCTAGACACTAGAAGAAAGACTCTAAGCGATGTCAACTGTTTAAGCTCTAACAAGTTGATTTGTCTGTGTTTTTTGTAGAAACAAAAAGGAGTATACATTCATGTAATCTATGATTAAATTTCTTAGATTTTTTTCATGTGTATTAGATGATTTTTGTTACCTTCTATACAAATACATACATAATATCTAAATCGAAATCCGAATTTAAAACCGATCCAAAATATCCGAATTCATATTTGTTTCGATTTATAAAAATATTTAAGATCTCAAACATATATTGAATTAGAAGAGATTAGATATCTAGATTTGAACTGTTATTCAAAAAGTAATTCAAACATATCTAAAATATAAATTTTATCAAACCTATAATTTACCAAACCCAATCCAAGAATGAGAAATAAGTAAATCATTAAACTAAAATATCTGAAAATCTGAAATACTATGGATATCGAACACCAATCTCTAATGAATACCGTGCCATCTATAACATTATTTGAGAAGTAAATTTGCTTAGTTATCAACTTCTCCATGATTTTAGGTTGTTTTACTTATTTTTATGTTTTAATAATTTAGTATATAATAAAAACGAATTTATGTTAATAATATTATATTTTTAGAAAATATGTTAATTATTTTGTATTAGATTGTTATCTTAAAAAATATATTATTCAATTATTATTTTAGAAGTAAAAATTTGCTTAGTTGTCGACTTCTCCATGATTTAGGTTATTTTGCTTATTTTTATATTTTAATAATTTATTATAAAATAAAATAAAAAGAATTTAGGTTAATAATATTATATTTTTTGAAAATATGTTAATTCTTTTGTATTAGATTGTTATCTTAAAAATATATTTTTTTAATTATAAAATTTAAGTGAGTTTGCTGATTAATTTGTAACTTTCTGTGATTTAGGTAATCTAAACTATTATTTGTGAATGATTTTTTGCAAATAACCTCTCCATTGAAAGTTAGAACGGTTAATATCGTTTATACCCTTAAAGAAAAATTAAAAAATTAATTTAATTAACCATAAATAAAAAACGAATTTCAATGATTTTAGATTTATCTTTATCTAAAACTATTTTATATTGGGTTATAAAGTTTTTATTAACCTTGAAAAATAATTATATTAGTTAATATACTTGAAAAATAATTATATTAGTTAATATATAATTAACTATAAATTAAAATCAAATTTCATTTATTTGATAATTATCCTTATTTTTTATATTATGTGATAAAGTCTTTATCAACCTTGAAAAATAATTATATTTGTTAACATATAATTAATTCTAAATTTAAAAATGAATCTCATGAATTTGATAATTATCTTTATCTAACTTTTTTATATTGTGTTATAAAGTCTTTATTAACGTTGAAAAAATAATTCTATTTGTTAATATATAGTTAATTATNCAACCTTGAAAAATAATTATATTTGTTAACATATAATTAATTCTAAATTTAAAAATGAATCTCATGAATTTGATAATTATCTTTATCTAACTTTTTTATATTGTGTTATAAAGTCTTTATTAACGTTGAAAAAATAATTCTATTTGTTAATATATAGTTAATTATGAAAAATCAATTTGCAAAGAATTTATGTATAGATAATTTATATTGTGTTATCCAAAACATTATTAAACATAATTTTTTATACTTTTTTGTTATGTCTAAAAACAATATTAATTTATTACTAAATATTTCAAGTTTATGAGTATTTTCAAATATAAGTTGTGTAATGAAAATTATTTATATGATGATGAAAATTTTATAAATAAAAAGAATTTGTTTAGTTTATTATTAAATATTTTGAGTCTATGAACAATAATTTATTATAATTTACATAACTTGATTATATATTTATTTATAGATATTAGTAAAATTATTACGCCCGCAAGTGCGGGCAAAACACCTAGTAACAAATAAACCACATGTGATTAAATTAGTACTTTATTCTTTAAAAAATTACCCACGTTATTAACGGTTTAATCCTTCTGTTTTATTGGCATAAATTAACAAGTAAATATTTTTTGTAATAAAGTAAAACAAGAACAGAACCCATTCATTCATGTAAACAATATTGTCGTAACAGCAGCCGCCCAAATCTCTGGCGACTTCTCTAAAGCCCTAACAACTAATCCCCAATCCCAAGTAAATGGCGGATACACCTTCGAGCCCCGGCGTAGATGGTGGAGAAAGCGGCGGTTCGGTTAGGGAGCAGGACCGATACCTACCGATAGCAAACATAAGCAGGATCATGAAGAAGGTGTTGCCTCCCAACGGAAAGATCGGTAAAGATGCTAAAGACACTGTCCAAGAATGCGTCTCTGAGTTCATCAGCTTCATCACCAGCGAGTATATGAGTTTTCTTCTCTTGAATTGCTCCGAAAAAAACACACAAAGTTTTGCTTTTTCTTTGGATTTTATATTCTCAGATTGCTTTTACCTTAGAAAGTCTTTAACTTTATCTGAATTTGTTCTTCATAAGACATTATGGTTTTGATCACTTCTGTGAAAATATGAAATTATGTATTCCTTCTAGATAGGTTTGGCTTTAGCTCCTTTTTAACATCTGCAGTTTTTTTAGTTTGCAGAAACAGCAGTTCGGAATCTTTTGCTGGTCTTATGTTACTGTAATGAGAATTTTCAAATGTTATGTGTTCTTATCTCTTAATCCTTTTTTTTTTCTGATTAATCAGGGCCAGTGATAAGTGCCAGAAAGAGAAGAGGAAAACTGTGAATGGTGAGGATTTGTTGTGGGCAATGTCAACGTTAGGATTTGAGGCTTACTTGGAACCTTTGAAGCTATACCTTGCGAGGTACAGGGAGGTATGTTTATATTTACTCTTAACCTCTTATTTACAGTCTCTTATAAGTTCAACACATTAGTTGGTGTGTGTAAAATTTGGAACTCGCTATGAGAGAAATACTAGCAACTTCTTCTATATGTTTTTGTGTTGACAACTTGCTTCAACAGATAGTTTTTTAGGCAAGAAAGACAAATCAAGATGAACTATCTTTGTTATATTCTCCTTTTCTGCTTTTAAGCTCTTGCTACGTGAGACTGATTCTGTCTTTTCATTTCCTTGTGTATGATTGCTGAAATAATCCTGCTGATGCAGTTGGAGGTAAAGAAAATCCCATATGCCACCATTTCAACTTTTATATCTTATCAATTTACCCCTCCAAGAGAAGTTCCATTTTAGAGTTTTACACATTACATCTTGTTGTGAAATTAATGACAGGGGGACAATAAGGGCTCAGGAAAGAGTGGGGATGGATTTAACAGAGATGCAGCTGCTGGTGTTTCCGGTGAAGATTTGCCGGTAGTATAGAGTCCTCCAATGCTACAGTCTTTCTCGATGTTGTTTGAATTTTTATTCATGTCCTTAGCTCTGACTTGGTCATCTTGATAACACAGAGCTGGTGAGGCGAGAAAATTTGCAAGTGAACTCTCTAGTGATAAAGAGCAACACAATGATCAAGTAATACCTCTATCTATATAATAATCTGTCTGCATCTAGGTTTTATATCCAACCTTTTTTACAATAAAGCGCTATAAACTTATTTTTGTATAACCATAATCCTTAAAGATTTACTTCACCAGCTTAACAAGGTAAAATCTGCTGATCATGTTTGATTGTAATTATTGTTTTACGAAGTATAGTTGTAGCTTGAATCTTATTCCCCAAATGCCTAACCTTAATCTTCTCACCTCTCTTTTAGAACAGTTTTGTCTAACGTGAAGTTCTCTAAAATGTGTGCAGGGGAGACTAGAGACCAGTGCGTGTTCTTTAGATTTGAGCTGGGCGATTACTTTTATTTAGAGGTTTACTTCGGGGTATTGTCAATTTCGGTTATTTGTTAATTTGACAACTTTTGGTTATTTAATTAGTTGTAGTTGAATTTATGAGAAGTATTTGAAGAAGGAAAATTTTGTCCACAATTGTCTCATATCTCTTAACTTTGTCTTATGGATTTCAAAAACTGAATGGTAACAGAACCACTGTTACAATTTTTTGGGCTCTTTTGACCAATGTTATGAAAGTTTATTACTATCCTTTTTTTTTTTGCTTATTACTATCCATATACATTTTCTCATTTTCAAACTGTATTAGAAAAAAAATACAAGACCATCATTTCATACATATTCAACAGAAGTTTTTAGTTCATAAAACAATATCCAACTAAAAGTTAACGAATGTTTCTTAGTAAAAAAAACGTTGGTCTACATAACGAATCACATTTATTACAGTCGATTTGAAAATGTTTCTGGAGAGTAAATGGAATGCTTAAATCACGCAAAACCATTATCAAAACTGTCTCTCCCTTTAAATTCTCCTACGGTAATGTCTCTTTTCTGCACTTTATCAGTTTTCAATTTCCCTTCTTCAAAAATCAAGAATCTCAAGAAGACAAATGGATTTATCACCGAGTACAATCATCTTCTTCCCTTTGTTTCTCTTGTATCTAAAAAAAGTTGATCATGTTTTTGAAACGTTCTCTCTTACTTTGTAGCAGCAAGAGAAAAGGTTGATTTCAAGCAGACGATAAGAGATAAAGAGAGTGAATGGAATCATCGGAGAAGTTTGGCATGGGACTCAGCCTTTTTCACCACCCCTGGTTTCTTCTCATTTTCCTTAAAATGACTATTGTGAAATTCAAGAACAATAAGAAAGACAATAGTTTATAAGGATGCCAACGATGTTACAACTTTTATTTGTTTTGTTTGTTGTAGGAGTATTGGATCATGAAGAGTTGTTCGGGAGCTTAAAGATTAGCGAGAATGAGATTGACGCAAACCACAAGGACTCGATCAAGAAGACACTTCCATGTGTTTCTTCCGACATCTCTACTCGTCCAAGTTTTGCTTGGGACAATGCTTTTTTAACCGAGCCAGGTCTTTACATTTCCAAATCGCTACCTCCATTCTTTTTGTAACGCTCATCACATTTTTGAAAAATAATTAGTCTACTATATTATTAAAATTTGTTAAAAATCTTATTACAAAAAACACTAATTCATATCACCTGCCTGCGACTATGTATATTGAAAAACTGACGTTGGCTAATATTTGTTAAGGTGTTCTTGATGCGGAGGAACTGTCTCTAGTGAACAATGGTTTCACTAGCAACACTCAGCCTCGTAACTCTCATGATGATTCCATGACGACAACAACCGAAGGCAGCAGATTCTCCGTCTCCAGCATTGAGTTTGATCTGTTTAACGACCTGAGAGTCTCTTTAAGTAATGTGAAGCAGATTGAAGCTCAAGAGATCCAACATAAGTTACCAGATGGTAACAAGGTAACAAAAAAAAGAACAAACCCTAAGACACTTGTTTCTTTTATCAGTTTTGTTTCATCTAAATTTAACATGTCTGTTTTTGTTTGTCAAGAAAACTAAATGGTATAAACTGAAAAGTCAACGTTTGAGTCTCATTCCTCAACCAAAAGTGTATCCTTCTTCTTCAGTCTCCAAATCTTTGACTCCTCGTCAAGCTAAACCTGAGAAGAAAATTGCTGCGAGTGAACTCGGTGAGAACATGATTCATTTTGTTTTGTTCCTCTTCAAGAGGAGAAATATCAATGTTCTTAAATTTTTTAACATTTTCTTCTTTGTGTGAAGGGAATAAGAGATCAAAATCTGTTATAAGATCATCGTATTCAGGATATAGAGGGAAGGATTTGACATCATCATCCTCTGGTCTGAGATTACCTTTGCCAAAAATGGGATTCTTCGACTCGGTAATGCTTCCAAAGAAAACCTAGTTTTCAATACTTTATGTATATCATGTGGTTATGAAGAAGAGCTATAACTTTTGTAACAACAGGAGAATATTGATGGAGACAAAGAAAACAAAGAACCAAATCCTTCTGGAAACAGAAGAAGAAGACACAAGTCCAAACTCGGATTGCTTTCTCCACAAGAAACCCCTAACGTTTTGGGACAACGCAAGACTCGAAAGTGAAACGTGCAAAGTCACCATTGTGTGCGTTGCAAGGAATCGTTTATTCGTTTGTCATATTGACTATTGAATCTATTTTTTTTCTTGTTAGATAAGTCACCTGCTTATTCCTTTTTTTTTTGAAAAGAAAGATATCATTATCAACAAAACACTGAGATAGTTATAAGTTGTTGATGAATGGATTTTTTTTTTTTTTTTTTATGATATTTTCTCAATGTTGTATTGCAATGGGCACTGGATGCACATCAAGGCTCTTCTCCTCTCATTAATTACTTGTAAGATCTTCCTTGTGATGCTCCTCAAGTATATTCTCTTGTGGTTGACACGTTACCAAACGCATAGCATATGTACTTGGACTTCACTTTGATCCTTCTTCATTCTAACGGTTTTTAAATCTCTTGAGTACTTTAAACTTAGGATGTTGGTGATGAATTGTAAACTTAACTAAGTCACATGAATTGGGTCACCGTATAGAAAGAAAGTACACACATTAAGCACATGATCTCTATGTTTGTGTTTATTAAGTTTCTATAGTAAAGTACAGTATAGTGAAATAGGGCATGCATTGCCTAGTTTTGACTAATCAATTGCATGCTCTCCGCAGCTCATAGCAGTATAAATTTTGAAAACCCTAAGTGAGAGGATAAGCAAACCTATCAACATTAAGCAGATAAAAAGAAAGCAAAAAGATAGTATTTATTATTTAGTGAGAAGGCAAAGAAGTTTTATTACAAGAGTGATGAGAAACAGCAAAGGCTATATAACTCAGATGAAAACTGTACAAGAAGATAATTAACTTGGTGATCATCCCACAAGAACGTAGATAGCATAGATGATCCCGGGGATGTAACCAAACAAAGTCAACAACAAACATATCCAAAACTCTACCTACATTCATGAGATCATTTAACAATTAAGTTACGAGACAAGAAACAAAGTAATTAAACTTTTTCTTTTGTGGTAACATTAAGTAATTAAACTAGTTATGTATTTAGATTAGTGCTTACCCCACAACCATGGCGGAGGAAAACGCCGACGGGAGGCAGAAGAATCGCCAGAATCACTTCCAGGAAAGTCTCTGAGCCCATTTTGTTTTGGATCAAGGAAGAAGAAGAGAAGCGAAGAGTTGATTGGAAGAAGTGAAAGTGGTGAGTGGGTTAAGTAAAACAAGAGATGGTTCTTGGACACGTGTAGTACTTAAAGAGTTATCATGTACCACGTGGTGATGTTTTGGAGATGATGCTCATTAACAATGTGGCCTATATATGTGTTGCGACCTTTTCCAATAGAAAGATAGAACATGTCAAATATCTGCTTACTTCATAACTGTTTTTACTACTTCGATGGGATTTTAAAGATATTATTATTTTCAGTGTCAGAATCAAGAGGAGATATTGGCGTTTTTGATAAGTATGAATGGTAGTCCTATAATGCTTACCACGAGTTGTTATTTATTATCCATTTCATTTTGTAAAATAAGTTTTGATAAATTAGAAAAACAATTTGGAAACTTATGTTTAGACCATCCCATTGAGAGATCACTCCCAAAGTTCACACAACTTCCCAAAAAAAAAAAAAAATATAATAATTGTTGGGTTTCACATTATTTGTTGATACTGTCTCTTACAGATTCTCCCCACTTAACGATATCACACCTATATTATGACTATTCCGCAAATCCCATGACATATGGCAGTCCGCAATTAATAGGTTTATTATTAGTTTTTTTTAAAAGTAAACAAAAAAAAATCAAAAAGTCACCTAAGGAATCAAGCTCCATTTGTTCGTCAATGGAGATGCTCTTATGTATGTTACCTCATAGTATACAAAATACCACATTTTATTTGTGTCTGACAAAAGTATGCAACAACAACAAATCTAAAACATATGTACAGTAATTTGATAGTACCAGACAGAACATTTTACATCCAAGATTCTATAGAGTAGTTTAACTTTGACCTACTAAGAATATAACCCAGAAAATGAATATGAAACCTCTAAGATCAGCATAATTATAAAACGTAATAATTGCTTTTAGAAAAAAATGGTGGAAATTGAGATGCTTGTTTTGTTTCTTCAACTCACCCTTAAACCCATTTTGCCAAATCCAGTGTCTTGCATCATCTCCACGAACTCACTGTAATCTATTCTTCCGTCCTGACAAAAAAACCAACAAACACAAACATATGTAATCATTTAAACAACAATGGCGCATCTAAGTAATAACTGAGAGCAAGAGCAACTTTTATTTACATTGTCCTTATCAACTTCGCTTATAATGTCGTCTAGATGAACATCCGCTAAGCCAAATTGCTTGCAAGCTTGCTGGAGCTCGTCTCTAGTTATATAACCACTTCCATCTTTATCAAAGTAAGAGAAAGCTGTGAACAAATGGTCTTCTTTCTGTATTTTGTTTAAATGCACCATCGCTGCTATAAACTCTCCATAGTCTATAGTCCCACTGTTATCTATATCCGCCTGAAAATGTATTCTCCATATTATTTAGTTTATAGCTTTAGTATATCATATATATAGTAAAATGGTAAGTAGAGAAGTGTGTCTTACTGCTTGCATTAATCCTAATATTTCTGAATCTTTAAGGTTAGCTCCAACTCTGTCCAAGCCCGTCTTGAGTTCTTCGAGAGTGATGTGTCCACTATTGTCTGTATCTATCATCTTGAACATTTCTTTCAGTCCTGCTATCTCTTCCTCCGACAAGCTTTCTGCTATCACCTGAATAAATACATGTCACGTCAAGATAAATTTGGTTAGTGATTTAAGTGGTCTTATCCAAAAATGATGTCAATCTATATATTAGAATTTTGTAAAGAGAGAGTTTTATGTAAGTTTTTTACATCAAATTATACTACTCATACTTGAGGTGGTCTGGATAACCAAACTGAAATAGAACTCAAATTATACTACTCATATTTGAAGTTGTCTGGATAACCAAACTGAAATAGAACAACTAACTAACGAAACATAAATCCCTATGTTTAGTCCTTATGTAAATGATATTTGGTATAAAATGGTAGAAATTTCAACCTTGATAGCAATTTTCTTGAGCTTGTTCATGGCAGAAAACTGTTTCAAACGACTGAGAACAGCAGAATCAAGAGGTTTATCAAGAGCAACACCGTCCACTCGAGCCCAAGGATGGCCTGCAACATGAATTATATAACATTCCAATATTTGTAAGCAGTTCTTTGCCAACACTTTTAGCTTCAAAAAGAAAAGATGAAACTTATTATGTAGGAAAGAAAGAATACTAACAGAGAACTTCATGAGCTGTCATTCGCTTCTTAGGGTCTCTAATCAGCATCCGACGAACCAAATCTTTTGCACTTTCTGATACACTAGGCCATGGTTCTGATACAAAGTCAAGGTCACCTTTCAAAACCTGCTCAAAGATGCCTTGTTCCGTTTCTGACATACATTAAAATCAGTCAGTCTCTAGTATTCAGTTTGAACATTCTTGTAAGCATGATTCAAACTGTTCTCATACCATCCCAAAACGGAGGGACACCACTTAGTAAGATGTATATAATAACTCCAGCACTCCAAACATCACATTCATGACTATAATGTTTCTTTAAAACTTCTGGAGCCACATAGTAAGGGCTCCCAACTACATCACTGAATGTTTCTCCTGTCATGGGAAGAATCCAGAACATGAAGCTAAACGTAGAATCCAGAGATATCAATTAAAAATAATTTAAAGACAAGAACATTAGGCCATCCCCATCAAACTTTTGTGTCACATCATACCAAAATATTATTATTTTTTACTGAGAGTTTCTACTTGTAGATGCCCTTACCTGGTTTAAAGAAGACAGAGAGACCAAAGTCTATAGTCTTGAGAGCAGCTTCTTCATCTCCATTAACAAACAAGAAGTTCTCAGGCTTAAGATCACGATGCATCACACCAAGAGAATGACAAGCTTCAATAACACCAACAATGGTTCTTGCAAGCTCAGCAGCTTTTTTCTCGGTGTAATGACCTCTTTGTATAATCCTATCAAACAGCTCTCCACCTGCACAAATATCCATCACGACATGAACAGCTACTGCGTCCTCATAAGCACCAACGATCTGAATCACGTTGGGATGTCCAGACAAATGATGCATTATCTGAATCTCTCTTCTCACATCTTCTATGTCCTCAGGGGTCGTGAGTTTCCTCTTGGCAATGGTCTTGCAAGCGAGTTCTTTGTTTGTCTTCTTATCCACGCAAAGAAACGTCGTCCCGAATTGCCCTTGACCTAACTTCCTCCCCACGCTATAGACCTCCTTGAGATTCTCTGTCTTTCTCCCGAGCACGGAGTCTATTTGTAGACCCGCGCTCGCCATACGTTTCATGTGTGCCTCTTTCTTAGGCTTTGGATCATCGTTGTTGGTACTCTTTGGTGCTTCTTCGTTTGCCATTTTCACCGGAGGAGGTGGCATGCTAGGAGTTGGCACCGTTGCTGGAGATGGGTCCAAGGCGGAGGAAGCGTTTTCACCGCCATGAACGCTCTTCTTAGTGCTGCTCCCGTCCTTTTTGCTCTCAAGGCTCTCGTCTGGTTTCTGATTACGCCAAACAGCGGCACTAACGGATTGAAGGAACCCGTTAGGGTTCAGTTTCGGACCCGTGCATGTGTTTCCCATTCAAACCCTAGTTTTGTTTCTCCTTCTATTTGTTTCTATATATCTCTATCTATCTCACCTTCTCGCGATCACTGTTTCTCTCCGACACAAACAATTGAACAACGCATCCATTGAGTTCTTGATGTGTCTTAAAATTCGAAAAAAACGTGATGAAGATGACCACAACCTATCCTATATGGGACCCGAGTTGGTATTCTCGTCTTTGCAGCTTCTCGTTCTGCACGTTGGAAGCCAAATTCTTGATGAGAAACTCTGTGGAATATTTTGAATTTGGTCGAATGGTTTTGCTTCCTAGAAAATCTCATGTGCTGATTTTTGTCAAAGGAGGATGAGAGGAGGGGAGACAATGAGTGAATAAGGATGAATGGATGATGAACAATTAGTGATCGTTTTTTTATTTAAAAAAAAACAATTAGTGATCGTAGCATGGCCGTACGTCTATTATACTATAAACACCTTTGGAGACTAGCTTGTGTTTTTTTTTTCCTTATTTAAAAAAATAAAATGGTTTTATCTATCTTTCATTCATGTTTTTCTCATTACATATAGATGGACAAGTATATATAGTCTTATTTTTCATAGATGTATTTATAGTCTTAGGTTGCTAGCATGTATTTGTATAGTTTTTTTGTTTGTTTCTTAGGGCATCATTATCGGTACTTTTCCGCTAAAGGACAACGATAAAGGACCATCGATAATGTAGCTCTTAAAAGGTATAGAGCTTATAAGAGATTGCAGAACTGGCAACACAACGAAAAGACGAGGAAAGATGAAGAACAAAGCTAAACTGGTCATACAACCGATACACATATGACTGAGAAGGGCCTAGTGCAATCGAGTAGAAGTCTCAGCTCAGACTTAACAAAATGAGAAAACAAAAGTAATTGGCAAATAATATACAACGAAAGAAGATTAAAAACAGAACTGAATGTGTGAGTGTGAGAGTGACTGTGAATACATTATGGATTTATGTTTATTTAAGTTTTTGGTTAAATAACAACTAGTTATGGTTATATTTAAATATTTAGCACCCCTACTTATTTTGATCTTTATCTGTTCTTTTTGTCAGACATGCTCATCTGCTCATAAAGAGAATTTTGGACTCATACCCATTGCACAAAAAGTATTAAATCCATAACCATTATAAAGCCATGGCTAGAATATATTATATATATTATCCAGATTATTGTTCAAAAACCCTTCAAATACGCGTGGAAAGGAACCGTCTCTCTCATTCCGCTTTAATTTCCATAACCATTAGAAAGTCTCAAACCTTTTTTGCTTATGAGATCGAAGAAAAGACGATTTAGACGGAAGGATTTTGATTAGTATAGTTTGGGTTGCAATTGGGAATACTAGTTCGATACATCAATGGTAAAAAGAAGGTGCGGCGACTGTTGGCTAAGGGAAGAAGTTTGATAATGAGATTAGGGTTACAGTGCCGGAAAAGTTAGAATACGAGGTCACCACCCACAAAATCAGTTACAATCGACTTAAAGGTAAACCCGATATTTATGTTAATGATTACTCGCTCTCATTAGGTGTGATGCCATCCCAGTTACGTCATATCGGTTAATCGGGTTTTTTTTCAGATCCAGGAGAACGTGTATCAAGAATCAGAGAGAAGGTATGGGGAAAACAATTTGAATCTTGTTTGTGATGAATTTAATTTGTAGATACATGTCGGTTTCAGTGTTGTCGGCATCGATTTGAAGAACCCAGGTTGGATTGGTGGCTGGGGAAAAACTGATGTGATGAGGATCATGAGTAGACTCTAGACCTGTGTTTATAGCATAGAATCTTGTAGAAGGATGTGTACTATTACTAATATGTTAATAGTATAAGACTATACTTTGGTTACCACCGTTAAAGGCTACATTATGTAGTTTAATTGTTTCGTCTTCTACCCCAGCATCAATTTGAAGAACCCAGTTTGGGATTGGTGGCTAGGGGAACAAATGATGTGATGAGTATACTCAGTAGACTATATATCCGTGTTTATAGTATAGCACCTTGTAGAAGGATATGTACTATTACTAACAAGTTAATAGTATAGGAATATACTTTGGTTACCACATTTAAAGGTGAACTATGTAATTTAATTGTTTCGTCTTCTAAACTGGCAATTAAAGTAGGTTGGTAGATTAAAAACCTTCTACGATGTGCGCGGGTACATGATTATACTATCGGGAATCGTATATAGTATATATGTTTGAAGTGTAGTCGTACATGATTAGGTTACTTGAATGATTACGATTAACAAGTTTGTTGTCTCCAACCTTGTTTGTATATGGGTTCCATTACACTGTTGCTGTTAACATGTTCCCATACATGTAGATTATGGAGGAGGTTTGCTTGCCAGAGCGATTATTTGAGAGTGGGTTCGAACCAAGCGGCCGGAAGAGAATAAACAACAACTTCAATTTGTGATGGGTAGAAATGATAAAAGACTCTTCTTTTTTTTTTGCGTCGCAAGAGAAGCTTGCGGAGTCGCAGTTCAGACAAATTATGTTAATGGGAAACCATACATTTTCAGTTATGTTTGGCCACCAGATCTTGGCACCATTTCAGTTGTGTTATGCTATTGATTTGACATCATAAACTATGTTTTAGATTAGTTACAAAGGAATAGATCACGTGGATTTAGACTATATATACCACTAAAATACAATATAGTATTTTATTCTAAGTACCTACGTACAAATAACACATTTTCATGACTAATCGACTTCATACTTGATTCCTTTGCATTGCTTGCTAACGTGCTGTACCATTCCAGCTGTGGTAAACTATAATATGTACTAAATACTATAGTTTAGTCTGTTTGGATTTCTCAACTATTGCATACATCTTTATATGTTGCGTCTCATGCACCTTAATGGAATCCACTTTGCAGCATATACACTATATTTTTGTTGGCACCCGGTTTTCCACTTCTTATACTACATCACATATATTATAGTATCTTGTTTTCTTTTGTTTATATCCATATAGGATATGTTGCCTTTCACCTTGTTGTTGTACCATAACTTTTACGGTTTAAATGGTTCACTTGTCTCTTAATGACGCGCAAGTGAGTGAAAGGACAAAACCGTTCAGAATCGTCGCTAGTTGTCACATCAAAATTGGTATAGCTATATTCTTATTGTTGTTTCTCCTATGAGTATTCAGCAAATTGACCCGTTCATAATTTCATTTTATTAAACATCTCCCATATAATTATATAATCTAAGCAAGCAAATACTTGCATACAATGTCTTAAAAATACATCAATTAATGTAACTTTTTTTAAGCACGTCGTGTTTGGTAAAGTTATAGTAATAATTTATCATAACGTATCCAGAACATCATAAAATTGAAACACAACTTAATTTATGTCTTATCAAAGGGGAAAAAAATCCCTGACTAGTGCTGTTATATATATATATAATGTATGGGGCATGGCAGAAACATATATTTTTTTTTTCTCAAGACTTTTGTATTAGTTTAAATAAGTTATGATGATTGAAGAAGTAAATAACTAGTAACCGATCATCTGAATCGTCTGTTCGTTCCAAAACATTTTCGACTGCTTCACCATCTCAGACCGTTCCGCCATTATCCTCTCCTTCCAATACTCTTTGCATCTGCAAAAATATTTACTGAGATTTTATATAGAGTTCTTTATATGTATTGACGTCCATAAATAGAAAATGTGAGTGCCTGTAGTATAGCAACTTTGAATATCTATACCACCTCAAGAAAAAAAAGACAGAAATAATTTTGAAAGACTCATTTATGATGAATTCTAACTTTAAGATTTTAGATTTGAAGTACAAGAAATTCGTTTAAATCTTCATCTTGTTAGGATATATAAATCAAAAGTTCAAAATTTAATTGACACATATACTGGCTTGGTGACATCTAAATTAGAGATTTGTCTCACCGTATCTTTAAGAGAAGGTGGAGCTCGATCATGTGAACTGCTTCCCCATAAACTCCAACCTGCATAAAACCAACATCTCAGTATAGATAATGGAAATAAAACTTGAGAGAGAAAAAAGGTTTAAATGTTACAAGAAGCTAAACAAACCTCTCTACATATGGGACATTTGGAACATTGTGGTGCTGCTTTAACGCCTTGGAAAATCATTACAGAAGCAGCCGAACATGCACACGCTTTACAAAATATGTGACCACATTTTAAAGCGTAGGGATTGAATACCGTTTCCTGCCCAAAAAATCAACAAAAAACTATTAATCATCACCTCCCTGTGAGAAAATGATTTAAACATTTAAAATTTTGTTGTATATGGTTTTTATTTTATTTTGTTACCAGGCAGATTGCGCAAGTTAGATCAAACTCGAGCTCAGTTGTGTTAGGCAGCATGAGCTTCATCACTGGTTGATCATCGTTGAGATTTTCACATGAGACACGACCAAACGAGTTCTTAAAGTTTCCAACTTTGTCAAGCCCGGAGTTAAGATAAAAGGCTCCAAGTTCTATGAGCCAAGGTGAGTGCAAGAGCTCTATACGCTCTGCTCGCATTTTCAACTTGAAATTCTTACCATTGTCTGAGCCATGCACCTGAAAACATTTTAAAACCAGTTTTTAACAATCTTGCCCATTTGCCAAATACATTTTTTTTTCATTCTTTGTAATAAGCCTAACCTTGTCATATTTCTTTAGGATTTTGCGGATGGCAATAGCGTTCATTGTTATGTATTGGATCAAGATTTGGCCCTCTTCGACTAAAGCTTGTTTTTCGTCCGTGAAGCATCTGCGTAGACGCATCATGTATCTTTGCATCCCAGTGGCTACATGAATATGGAGAAGATGCCTAACTCTTGACTTAAAGAATCCTGCTATGTCAGAAACTTCCTTCATCAGCTCTTCAAAGAACATTTCGTCACACCCTACATTGTAACAAATCACCTTTCACATTAACCACCTAATTTTGAATAAAGAAAAAAAACCCAAAAAAACTCCACACGTAAACAATATGAAATATTCACGAAAACACACATTTTGATTACCCATAACTTTTTTTTTTTTTGCACAGATTACCCATAACTAATACGTCTTTTTGAGCGTCAGCCGTGGAGCTGCTTAACTGAAGAAATCAATGTTCTAAAAATTGGTGTATGCAGCACCACAAACGCTTAGTCGACAAATTGATCATAAACAAAACTATTTTCTATAATGTTTTTTATAAAAAAATGGTTTAGATGGCAAACGCCTGAGTAGACTCTAATCTTCTGCAAATCGCGTAATTACTACCCAACAATTTTTGATAACTGGAAGAATACTAGACAGGCCACTATAAAATGGAATAGTCCATGGGTGGTCAATTGTACTCTATGATACCATTTTAGTTAACGTGGCATTTCAAATCAAAACCAACTGCAGTAACTTGATTAATCAGATTATTTTCATACTTTGCTAGACCTATCTGCTCATGTAAAAATTATCAAAGGAGTATAGACTAAGCACTGCTAAGTATTAGATCTTTGCCCCATTATCTATGGATCTGACTATTGCAATAAGACTAAAAGGTAAAAAGGTGAAGAAGAGAGGGAACAAGGGAGAGAAGTTATACATACAAGGGCAAGATTGGCATTGGCATGAATCAGACAAAGTAGTCGATGAGTTGACGTGTTCATCACCAGATCTTGTGGTGTTACATGTTGTCTTGCATTTCTTTAGCACTTTCTTGAGTTTCTTATATTCAACATGACGACATTTTTCTAGGAACCACTCCTCTTCTCCACGTAGATATTCCGTGAACGTCTCTCCAAACTTCATCTTCTCAAATAGTACTCAAATCTCAATCTCAGACTGCAAGATTTTTATATGTACACCAGTGTATATATGAGATACTTTCCAGTCGAGCAAAGATATGATTGATTTTTCACAAAACGAATTTATAGATGCTTAAATAGAGAGACATTGCCAAGAAAAATTAGGAGATCAGCCAATTAATTACCTATTGAAAGTATGAGATCTGGAAGGATCAAGATGATAGCTGGCTGATGAAGACAAAAAAAGCTCTTCCCTTTGAAGTCACTTTTAAATTTATCGTGTATTGGACTTCCTATTTTTAGGGTTTTGTTTCACTTTTTCATTGGTATTTTTAGGGTTTTGTTATACAAATCTGAGTAAAGTTGCTTTGTGTACCTCATCAATAGCGTCGTTTCAAACGGCATGCCACTTACGTGTAAGAGAGAGCCAAGAAAGCGCGTCCCCATGAATGCTCCAACGAATTGCATATTTATTTACTATCTTGTCTCTTAATTTTCTTGGTGATAGCGTTAAAATCGAGTAAACGAGTATGAGACTCTCACAAACCACGGTTTATTTCTCTCTTTATTTTTCACTTTAAATATTATATTGTATTCGAATAATACTTAATTTATCCTCCAAATCAAACTTACATTATATTAGAATCTTTAATCTCAAAATAACTTAATAGCCTGGGTTCTTGCATGCTTGATTCTCATCTAAATTTGAAATATTCATACCCCAACTATTGTCCAGAATAAGTACATATCATTGATTTTTTAATTTCTTGCTTCTCTTAAATCCGTATCTGGTGACTAGTAGACATCTTAAGAATTCTCAAAGCAAAAATCAATGCTGTCAAATATTCGATTTTTTTGAACAGAGGCTTTCAAATATTCAATTTTGTCGCACTGAAACTGCTATTCTTACTTAGACGAAGTCCAAAATGCTTTCTAACATATGGTTATTCACAATGGTCGTACAGTGAAGTTTTGGCAGATATATGGCATCCCCTTGGCAGGATCATCGATCTTACTGGAGAAGTAGGAATACATAAGCTTGGTGTCACTAGGCACACCACAATCTGCGATGTATTTTGGGGAAATGAGCGGTGCTTCCGCACTTGTAGGGATCCCAGCTAGCATTCGGTGCCTAATAACTCACATTAAAGGCGCTGTTCCGTTGGTCCTATCGGATGATACTGAGGACGCAGCCCTTTGGAAAGGACGATTTTCAGGCTCAATTTCAAGCGAGGACTACTTGAAACATGATACGTTATTGGATTGAGTTATAGTCTTGGAGTAAACTTGTTTGGTTCCTGCTAAACGTCCCTCGGTTCGCTTTCAAAATATGGCTTGCAGTTAAGGACATATTAAATATGGGTCATCATATGAATCGTTGGGGACAAGGTCATGGGTGTTTCTTATGCGATGAACCTAATGAAACTAGAGACCATTTTTTCTTTGCTTGTCCATACACTTTTACAGTTTTAATTGAAGTGCTAGGTAATCTTCTGAACAGGCAGCTAGATCCAGATTGGCTCATTACTTTGGAACAGCTTGGTCACAATTCTCATGATAGAATAACAAGAAAACACGCGAAATCTGACAGCCAATTACGTCAGAATTTCGTCGGAATTAAGCAATTCTCATGAATTTCCGAGGAAACGAGTCGTTGGAAATAACTCGTCAGAAAAAAAAGTTCGTCGGAATTTCGTCACAAATTCCGACCAATACCGACGAACATAATTCAGACGAAATTTCGACGGACATATTTTCGACGAATTTCTGACGGACAACATTCGGACAAAATTCCAACGGATAATTTTCCGACGAAATTCTGACGAACTAATTTCCGACGAAATTCTGACGAACATATATCCGACGAAATTCCGACGGACTTTATAAATTAATTAAAAAAAATTAATTTTATTAAATATTTTTATTTTATTATATATATATATATAGAAAATTTTAAAATTATAAAAACGTTTTTGCAATATAATTATTTTTTAACAATCATATATAATAAATATTTTTAATTCGTTATATATGTAATTAAAATTATAAAAACATTTTTGTGGTTTAATTTTTTTAAATCCTTTATAATAAATGTATTTATAAATTTTTCAAAACATAAAACAGTTTAAAAATTGACAATATTTTTAAAAATTGAGAAATGTACTTTTAAAATTTTTATTAACTTTGTGTAATTGAAACCTTTTTCTAACAACTGAAAAAGGTTTTAATTAAATCTAAAAAAAAAGCATTTTATAGATAGAAAAGGCTTTTAAAAAGCTGAAAAAGGTTTTGATAAATTTTAGAAACCAGAAAACGTTTTATAAATTATAACAAACTTGTAAAAATAAAATATAAACTTAAAATGTTTTATAAAAATCTTAAAACGTTAAAAAAATTTATAAAAACGTTTTGATACAATAATAGATAATAAAAACTTGAAAACATTATCTATTTTTATATTTTAAAACATTTTATATATCCAATAATTATATATAATATATTACTAGAAACCCCAAAAATGTTTTTAAAAATTAAAAAGCATTTTAAAAAATCAAAAAACGTTTTAAGAAATCAAAATCGTTTAAAAACACACAATATAATTCCAAAAAAAATTAAAACAACCAACCAAACAACAATCCTAATTAATATATCCTAAACTATCCATTCAATCCTAAACATACAAATTAAACAACCTCAGATCCTAAGATCTAACTTTCTTAACCCTAAAAACGAAATAAACAAAGGTTTTTAAGAATCTTACATGCTTTGTGGGTGTGGTGTAGAGATTCGTGATTGGGAAGAGGAATCGCAAGAGTTGGGAGCTGTAGAACCGCCTCTGTCGCCGGAGAAGAGAGAGAACTCGGAGAGATTAGAGAGAGAGAGGCGGAAATAACGAAGAAGAAGAAGTAGGGTTTTTATATTTAATGATTCCGACGGAACCCATTCCGTCAAAATTCCGTCGTTATCATTAATTAAATATTAATTGGCGGTTCGCGAAATTTTTCATGCGGTTTGTTTTTCCCGGGTAAAATGATATTCTGACGGATTTACGACGGAATTAGTAAAGTCGTCGGTATTCCATCGGAAATTGGGTTCGTTGGAAAGTCGTCAGTTTTTTCAGACAGATTACTGACGACTTATTCCTACGGAATTCTGACGACTTAGTGTTTAGGGGTTGATTACAAGTTTCTAAATGTCAAAATTAAATATTCGATAATATATATAGTATTTGCATAAAGATTTAACTAGAAAAATGTTTTTATAACATGATTTTACACAAAACATTTTTGTAGTGTAGGATTAGATGAATATGATTGTATAAGTATATGAATGTTAAGATGATATGTTGTGAAAACAATGATATACATAAATATTTTAGTGAGTTGTTATATTTGAACGGTTACGAGCTAATACTATACTAAACACTTATTATGTGTTATTTTCATAGTTTTGGTATCCAAATTTATATTTTTTTTTATTACAAATTTTTTTAAAACACAAGTCCTCGGAAATTCCTCAGAATATACCGAGGACATTCCGACGAACTAAGCAAGTTCGTCGGAATGTCCTCGGTATATTCTGAGGAATTTCCGAGGAACTTGTCCACTTTGAATAAAACCACAGTTCGTCACTATATCGAAGGTATATAGTGACGGAATACCGACGGATAATATATATAGTATTTGCATAAAGGTTTAACTATAAAAATGTTTTTATAGCACGATTTTACACAAAAACATTTTTGTAGTGTAAGATTAGATGAATATGATTGTATAAGTATATGAGTGTTAAGATGAGATGTTATGAAAACAGTCATATATGTACATACATAAATATTTTAATGAGTTGTTATATTTGAACGGTTGTGATCAAATGCTATACTAAACACTTATTAAGTGTTATTTTCATAATTTCGGTATCCAAAATTTATCTATATTTTGATTTAAATTTTTTTAAAAACAGAAGTCCTCGGAAATTCCTCAGAATATACAGAGGACATTCCGACGAACTAAGCAAGGTCGTCGGAATGTCCTCGGTATATTCCGAGACATTTCTGATGAACTTGTCCACTCTGAATAAAACCACAGTTCGTCACTATATCATCGATATATAATGATGGAATACCGACGGATTTCTGACGACATCAACATTTATATATTTTATCGGAAGGTCGTCAGAATTTCGTCGGTATATACCGACGAACCACGTTTGGTCGGAAAATCGTCGGAATATTCTGATGAATTTCTGACGAAGTTGTATTTTTTGTTTTCGTAGGAATTCCGTCGGAAAACTGTCAAAATTTTCCGACGATTTTGTTGTCCGTCGGAATATAACGTATTTTCTTGTATGTAACCTCGATCTTGCTCCGTTTAGCATTCCAAGTAGATGTATACCACATCTGGAGGGAACAAAATGATAAGAAGCATAACAATCTTGTGAAGTTCAGCCACCATTTATCTCGGATTATTAACAAGATCATTCACAATCGTGTTATGTCTACCAGATACTTTGAGAAACCCATACAAGGACTTTGTCAAAGATGGTTTTCTGATCGTTTGAGCACAGGTTAGGCATTTTTTTTTTTTTTACTAAACTATGTTGGTTAAGTGGGTTGTAACCCAGAAATTTGTGAATTATATACTTGGATAATGATTGAATCGCGCACGAGGTCACTTTCCTTAAAGAGTATTTCGACCCTATTCCAAACCTTTGGGTTACACGAAATCCCTTTGTAGGATAAGACAATCAAAGTCTCACTCTTGTTCTAGGTTAAGATACAAGAGAAACAAAAAGAANGATAATGATTGAATCGCGCACGAGGTCACTTTCCTTAAAGAGTATTTCGACCCTATTCCAAACCTTTGGGTTACACGAAATCCCTTTGTAGGATAAGACAATCAAAGTCTCACTCTTGTTCTAGGTTAAGATACAAGAGAAACAAAAAGAAGTTTTAGTGTTTATATGTGTTCTTCAAAGATCTTTGATGATCTTTAAATAATGAAT